GGGGCGGGGCGGGGCCGCCGCAGCCGCTGCGTCTTTGCTCTCGGCCGCTGACAGCGCTCCGGTCGCTCCTCAAAGTAAATCTTCCGGTGGGGAGCTTCCGTCGGGTTCCATCAACTGAAAATCGAACTTCGATCAACAGTTTAGCGATACACAATGCCTTTTCTCGGAAGAAATCCTTTTTTCGACAAAACCTTCTTTCTTGAATCTTTAAGGTAAAAACGGCAATTTGCCACATCTTTGCTTCGCAGAATAATGAAATGAGGCCTGTGTTCACTGTTTCATGAACACTCTCTACACAAAATCGGAGTGAAATCATTTAAATATAACCTTTTAATACATTAATTTCAAATATAAATTTCATTACAACGAAAAAATAGGTTTGAACCATAGATGAGAGTAAAAGAACGGTGTCGTGAACGACAAGTTGTTCAGTGTTTAAATTTATTGATATATATTTAAGTAATATTTTATTTGTGTACACATTTGAAAGAGGAATAATACATCACATGAATTCATAAAAAGACAGTTTTTACACAGGGATAGACCGTGAACTTACAAATTCCTATTTTTTTCTTTCGTCTACTTGTATTGTCTTCAGTGAACCCTGTGACTCTCCACAGAATCATAAAGTTCCATTTTTAAACAAGTTATTTTCATAAAAGTCTCTTTTTATAAACACGTACAATAACATTCCAAAGCCGTAAATATATAAATTACTGCAAGCTTCACAATCGGTAATTGCAGAGTAGTAAGTTTCGTGAAGTAATGAACGAACTTCATGACAAAGTGAATAAGAAAACGTTCATTTGAATTTACTGAGAAGTTTCTGACGCGTACTGAAACAATGAATATCGCTGCGAGATCAAAAATTACTTTAGTAATAATAGCAATGATAGCGATGATACCTAGAAACACCTGTCATTAGTTTTACCAAGGTATCAACCTTGTCAATATCATATTAATTCTGAAAAGAAAATGAAAAACACGGGAAAGACGTTTCTTATCATATTACTTGGGTTTAGGCGCCTCAGAATATCAATTGGTGTCCCTGCAGTACCTTTACTTGTTCGAATCCCTACGGTGGCTGGAGTTTACACACTAGCTACTGTTGGTTAGGTCGAGTTCAGCTGCTGTTCGGAGGAGAACTCTATCGGCCGGCTGCTCTAATCGGTAGTTTTCCTTGGTTTCTCCCATCAACACCCGGCGAATGCCAGAGCAGTTCCGTAACTAACGAGGCACGGACCGCGCGCTATCTTCCCTTCCTCTTCTTTTTCCTATCTTCACGCCTTACTTACACACAATTTTACTTATATGCACAACACTACCACCGGAATACCAGTCGAGAGCTTAGAGCTTGTACCTACTGGAGCAGTGCCCCGCTTGTGAGAGATACTAGATTGGGTGAAAAACGCAAGACGATTGAATCTCGCCATCCAGCAAGGATAGGTCACCGCCAACACGCGAGATAAAAACATACACTACACTTACGGAACTAACGATCTTAGCTGTAAACGCGGTCAGAATCACCGATCAATCAGTTGTACTTTATAAACGTCTATTGGTAAATGCTCACGCACGCCATCGAATCTTCGTAGGTCGCGGTGACAGAGACGGGAAAACGTTACTGGGCAGCTGCAAATCCCGGGCTGGTCGGAGCGTCGGAGGCGCGGCGCGGCGCTGCGGGGGGCGAGGTGGGCGTGGCGGCGGCGGCGCCGCACTTAGCCCGCCCGCTCGCCCGCCAAAGAGGCTTACTGCGCCCCGCCGCGATAAGCAACTCAGCGCGCGCGCCAGCGCACTCAATCGATACGGGAATTGCCGCATCGAGACGCCTTTCGCCCGCCGCCGCCGCCTCGCCACGTGCGCCGCCGCCCACGCAGCGCGCCCTTCGAATGCCCCCCCCCCCGACCCCTCTTCTTCCCCGACGTTGTCTACGCCACAGAGGAAAGAAGGTACGGAATAGAATACGTTAGCCAGAGCAAGGTACAGGAAAGATGCGCAGCTCTCTTCTTTGCTAGTTGGGTGAAAGTAGGACGCGAGGGGAGGTGCTATTTGTCAGCGGTACTCTAAAATGTTATGCTATAAAATCAAATCTATAGTTCATTTGATGATGGAAATACCTTTTTTCGTACTCGAGAGTGAAAATGTTTAGTCGTGGAATGCTGCCAACAACACTATATTTGTACGAATAATTCAATAGTGCAATTCACTCCCTTGAGTGAGGTCGAGCTTTTGAAGCTCACGGAAGCTTGTGGAAAATTTACATCACAATTTTTACACTGTTCTGACGATAAATAAGTCAACAAATAGATAAATAAATATCTAATTAAACATGCATGCCCTACATAACTGTTATATTATTATCATATGTGGTTATCAACTAATACAATGTATTGTATCACATTACCATTGTCAATTTTTGTAAGTTTAAAAACATCTAATCATCTGTGAATATAGAATATAATAGGGAAACATCTAATTCGGAACCACGAACGCATCTTTAATAGTTTCTCTTACATATTTAAAAATGACCAATTTTCATTGTAATTTAGTTTAAGGTCACGAAATAATTTAAGGTATATACTATATTGAAATTGGTTCACAGTGAATACGCACACCTAGCAAAATGCAAAATGTTCCCAAAAAAAAGCGGCCAAAATAAAAAATACTTTCTTACTTATGGAATGTGAAGTTATTTATATGGAATAGTAATATGTTCACCGTTAAATTTATACTTGGGTTATTCATATTTCATACTGCACAACTCTCTTCCCAGCTGCTATTTATCGGCGCCTTAAAGACATTTTTTCACAGTTCTTCAATTTGTATCATGTCCTTAATTTAAGAATACTACAGAAGAGTAACACATGGCCCTATATACTCGTACACTGTTTGATCAAAAGTATCCGGACACGTGGCTGAAAATGACTTACAAGTTCGAGGCGCTCTCCATCGGTAATGCTGGAATTCAATATGGTGTTGGCCCACTCTTAGCATTGATGACAGCTTCCACTTTCGCAGGCATACTTTCAATCAGGTGCTGGAAGGTTTCTTGGGAAATGGCAACCCATTTTTCACGGGGTACTGCACTGATGAGAAGTATCGATGTGGGTCGGTGAGGCCTGACACGAATTCGGCGTTCCAAAACATCCTAAAGGTGTTCGATAGGATTCAAGTCAGGACTCTGTTCATGCCAGTCCATTACATGGATGTTATTGTCGGGTAACTACTCGGCCACTCGCCATCCCCGAATTGCTCTTCAACAATGGGAAGCAAGAAGGTGTTTAAAACATCAATGTAAACCTGTGCCGTGACAGTGCTACACGAAACAACAAGGGAGGCAATTTCCCTCCATGGAAAACACGACCACACCAGAGCACCATTCTGGACGTGTCCGGACACTTTTGATCACATAGTGTATATGTTGCCTCTCCCTCTTGTTTTATGCTGCCCATGTATACGTATATTTACTGTTTTCTAACCCGAAGGAGTGCACATAGTGTATATTAGTGTATTTATTGCCTCGCCCTCTTGTATACGTACGTAAGTATACTTGTATCATGTATCTTTGTACGTACGTTGTATACGTATGTATACGTATATCTGCTGCTTTCTAACCCGAAGGAGTGCACAGAGTGTACATGTTGCCTCGTCCTCTTGTATACGTACGTATGTATAATTGTATCTTGTATCTTTGTACGTACGTTGTATACGTATACATACGTATGTATACGTACATCTGCTGCTTTCAACCCCGAAGGAGCGCGCCCAACGCCGGACGTGTGTTGCAGGCTGGGGCTGATGACGCACTTCGGCGCGCTGGCGGCGGCGGCGTCGGGCCGCAGCCCGTTCGTGGCCGTGTACCCGCAGGCGGCGGCGGCGGCCGCGGCGGCGGCGGCGGCGGGCGCCGACGGGGCCAAGGGGCCGTGCCCGTGGTACGCGGCGTGGACGACGCGCGTGCCCCACCCGGCCATGCCGGGCCTCGCCGACCGGCCCAGCCCCACAGGTGCGTCCGCCCTCCAGTCTGCGTAGAATCCACGACCGTTATGTAATTAGGAATGTAGTCCACGCCATTGGGTCGGAGGGAGTAGGAAAAACAACAACATTAATTTGCTGACGTACCGAAATATTTTTATTCCATCCTCAGGGTCGGTGTACAAATATTCCGGAATATTGGATGACCCTGAGGATGGAATAAAAATATTCCGAAACGTCGGCCAAATAATTGTTTAATTTTTTATTTTTTGTCATTCACTCCGACCAAATCATTGAGCGTCAACTACATTCCACATTAAATGATGTCGTAGGCTTCCGCGGCCAGAGTCATGATCTGGGCTGTCCGGGTGACGCCGCGTCGATGGCTGATGTGCCGACGTTTCGACCGACATGTCGCGGTCCTCTTCAGGGACAGCCCCACATCAGCCATCGACGCGGCGTCACCCGGACAGTCCAGATTACATTCCACATTCTACGTGCTAGAGCAGGAGTCTTCAATCTTATACAACTTCGAGTTCATGGTTTTCTTGAAGGAACCTCATGTTTAAGTAGCCAATGAAATAGTTTCTCAAAGAATTTGTCTGCTGGAATTCGCAAAATTATTCTTGTATCTTTATTTAATCGAAATACATACATCTAATAACAGAATGAATAGTGAAGTAGCGAATCAGGTTTTATTTTATTTGTTTCCTAGACTTCATTTTATGGATAATTAACGAGACAAATAATATAGGTGTTGTGGTGAGTTATCGTTGGCATTTCTAATGAAATAATTATATGCGTCGTCATTGCCAACAATATTAATGTTGTTGTATAATATTGTTGGCAACAACGACGCATATAATTATTTCACGAGACAAATAATATTTGAAACGATAACATAATAATAAATATAACATTTTATATCCAATTTATATTAGTATTGTAATCTTTATTTAAATATTATATTATTCTAATATTTTAATAAGATAGTCCACTACCTCGCTCCTGCACGAAGAATTAATTGTGTAGTTGATTTCCATTTTACGTGGGTTTTGGCTGAGCAAATAGTGATCACTTGCAGGAACCCCTGTCAATGTTCCAAGGAACTCTGTAGTTTCGCGAAATCCAAGTTCAAGATCCCTGTGCCACAGGAAATTATTTACTATGAACAAGAGTTTCGTTCTTAGTAAATAATTTCGTTACCCGGCCCTTGCAGTAGCAGTTTTTCTGTCGAAAATTCGCCGTTTTGCAATATTACAAAATTTTCTGTTCTTGCCATGTAAAGTCGAGAAAGTATAAAATGAACTTACGAAAGTAAAGAATCATCACTGGTACTTGACGCAGTCTTCTTGTAAAAATAGCCATTGGGTTAGATTTTACATGAATTTGCTTTCGCGCACTGTAATTATCTACGGAATCGTTTCGTTGTTTATTACTCATATTTAACATTTATTCAAGTTTTCGGATCTGGGATAAACCTCTAAGATCAGAGTCGCGAGGACAGGCATGTAAAACTGCCACAATCTCTGTTGTACAGAATGATGGATAAACACAGATAGAGAGAGAGTGAGTACATAAAGCTTTCGTGGATGACCAACTAAACTCTAAAATGAATTGTGGTTGTTACTTGAAAAAGTCAATTATGAAACTTGAGAGTATTTGTTGTTTCTGTTATTTATTTCACTGAACAGTTGTGCAGCTTCAGGATAATTTTTGTGTTAGATCGTTCACCGTTTCTTATTTTCCAATTTCCAAATATTTTTATCTCTTTTCCCTTTTTGCGACAGTGGCAGAGATGGATTTTGTTGATAGCAATGTAAGAAGTAGTTTTAATACAGAGGTAAGAGCTATTCTCGTTGCCGCAGTGAACATTGAAGACTAAAAACATTGAAAATAAATGTTTGCTATGACCATTTACTATATTGACCTCTTTTTCACCTGAACGGCGTCATTGCAGAACCCTGTTTGTAAATGAAACGTTTTCAATACCTGATCTTAAGTAAATTCTTAACACCACTTTCACAGTTTTCTGTCTCAACTAGTTACTTTAGACGTTGAAAAACCTGGTGGGAGATTTTTCCACTGAAACTTATTCTCTCTTATTATTCTAGTTTGTGAAATAGCCGAAATTATTGTAACTCTAAATGTTTGGCCTAAGACAAAATTACCTATAATGTCATGTAAGTAGAAAGATGTCCTCATTAGTTGGAGTTTGAACAGTAATCAAAGTTGCCAAACTTTGTAAAATGCTTTCTATTTCTCCTTCTGCTGCTTAGATGGATCTAAAAACTGACCTATTGTTTGGTTTGTTACGGAAACCGTTTGCAATTTGTTCTAGGCGGATGAGTAGATGAGTACAAACATTTTCTCAACACGAAATGCTCATTTGGCAGTACCCTTAATTCCATGACGTATTTTGTAAGTCTTTTATTGTATGAATTTCTCAAATACTTTAAATAAAGAAGATAATAATAAGCTAATTAGCCTCTAGCTTGATACTTTCTTTGAATTTTCTTTCCTGATTTACTGATAAGAAGAAGAATGGCCTGTTTCTATAATTTTGGATAACATCCAATTCTAAGAACTGAACTCTATACTGCAGTCAGAAATGCAATCAAAAAGCTGGGTAGTTCTAACAAGATTCTTTTATTCGTACATGGTCTGAAGTCTTCCTAATTTTGAGACAATGAATTTGTTTATAAATGTAATAATTTCGTAGGGCTAATAAATTTAATTTGGGTGCAGACTCTGTAGTACGTTTCTGTCATGTGCTCTTCTTTATTATGCTTTACAGCTATCGTTGAGTTAGGGTAAACGTATTTTCTAAATTTTCTCTATGTAATCAATATTTTCCTGATCCGTATGCATACAATTTCCTGTTTGGAGATTTAAAGAAGGAATATATATTTTCCCTCTGTTGTACTTTATATTCTTGTCCCCAGCCGTTTTGAGTTAGGACGTATTTGAGATACATAAATTTGTAAGTTAGAAAATCGTAATTATTTAATTTGATTTTAATTCTTCTCGCATCTTGGTTTCTATTTTTGAAAACGTCCGGCCACATGCTTTCGTTTCAAACAACCATTCGTCATGTTATTTCAAGCGTGCTTCGTTCTTACTATTTCCTCTGCAGATTGCGGGTGTACACCCCCTTGTGGGTTTGGAGGGGAAATGCGTGCGTAGTCAGGAAATTGCCCGTGTCGCTAGGAGCGCCGCGCTCCCCAGGCGAGCAAGGATCTCGTGCGAGCGCAGTTTGACGCGCCTGGTTCTAAGATATCGGGCATGATTCTATTGTTGTGAGGGCAATGAGTTGGTTTACTGGGTGGGGGTGTGTGGATATCTATACAATTTTTGGGGAATAGCTGCGACAACTTTTGACCAGGTCTTGAGATAGAATTGCAACTCCAAGCAGTTTTTTAATTTGTTTAAAAAAATTTTATTGAAGCCCTCAATTACAAGAATTTTCAAGTTGCTTATGGAAAATGTTTTCACGAATATTTTATTGGAAAGTATAAAAAAGGGGGTTTACTTGCAATTATATTTGCTACTGTTTCTAGTTTTTTGTCTGACCTATTTGGAAAGGTTGGTGTTGTTTTGTCTGGTCTAGTTGGAAATGTTGATCAGATATTTGTCTGATATCTTTGGAAATGCAACAATCGTATGCTGTGTGATTTCCCGCACAGTTATCACATATTGGTTGTTCTTTTTTATCATTTGCGTTGTGAATAATGATGTGTTCCGTCACAACAAACGCTTTTTAAATTTAGTTCACAGTTAGAATGTGTGTGTTTGAAGCGCTGGCATCTCTTAAGTGTTATTTCGTTTGGAGCAATGCGCAAGCGTACTTTAATTTTGGAATAAAGTAATATAGTCTTTTAAATATTGATTTAGCATGTTTCAGTTTCCGTTAGAAATTCCTTCAATTCCATTAGGACCATAGTAGTTTTCTACTTTTATTATTGTCTTGTTACGCTGGCTACTGGGTATTTAAGCCTTACTAGTTCAAACATTTGTGAGAGCAAACTACAGATAAACCTTAATTTACATCTGAGAGCGTCGAATGATTGGGATCTCTGAAAAATAGTGATGAATATTGCTCCCATTTGTAGACTGTTTGTCTTTGTAAATGTTTCTGTAGACTCTGTAGTCATCAGTTGTTACAAAATTCACTCAATAAAAGTATTTTTGTTGCTTGATCGTAAAATTGCTTTTGATTATATTTTTAATATCACTTATTGGAAGTTCATAGCTGTATTCGTTAATATTGTAAATGAATTTTGTCGGATTATTTACTGTTTTTTCACATTCAGAATGGTCACTATTGTCTAAATTTCAAAGCACTTCATAGCTTTGTGAGCTCACTGATAGATTAATAATAGACTAATAAGCGCATATGCTTCATGGCTAAAGTCAAACCTTTTTCTGGTGTTTGAATCGGAGCATACAAAAGCTCACCAGTTACGAGCATTGTTCCTAACGATGGGAGCTTCTCTCCGTAGAATTCACCTTTGCCGTTTGGGTTTATCGCTTGTCATTCCCAGAGATTGCACAATTAACTCTGGTGTTTCAAGTAGCCTCCCAGAGAGAGAATTATCCGCGCTCGGTTTGACCGATAAATCGTTGTTTTATACTTATTTAACAATAGAGAATATCACCAAACTGATGAAATCATCAAACTGATGAAAAACACTTTTTAAATCACATCGCAGTCACCCCAAAGTTGTAACTCAGCCAATACCACTGAACGGAGCGCAAACTGCTCCAGACAAATCATCGGAAGAGTGTGACTTATTTAAATGCTTACCACTGACAATTCCATCTACGGTACGTTTCTGTGTTGAATGAGTATTTCAAGATCAGAAGACTACATATGCCCAAGTAATTGCATTTCGGTAATAAAATGATTACATGAATATTTACTCTCACACAGCTCATATAAAAGGAAAATAGATGTTCTTTTTAAAAAAAATTGGTTCGATAAATTGTTTAATATTTATATAAACTGTCTCATACTTATATAAATTATTTCATATTTTTGTTTATTGT